ATGTAAAGCAGCGAAACGTGCGAGAGGTGTGCCGACATGAAAGGCGGAAACTCAGGCGAACCCTGGCAACAAAAGGCCTTAGCTGGAGTCCCCAGCTGAGGCTGCGAAGCGTGTGAGGGGAGTGGCGGGAGCTTATGTGAACCTTGGCATGTGGCCCTTAGTTGGGGCTCCCTTATGGGGCCACGAAAAGCGTGCGGGGCGTGCCGAAACAAAAAAGCAGGAAATCATGTGAACTGTGGCATTTGGGTCTTAGTTGGGGCTCCCCTTGGAGCCGCAAAACGTGCGAGGAGTCCACCGAAATGGGAGGCGGAAACTAATGTGAACTTTGGCATTTGGGCTTGAGTTGGGGCCCCCATGTGGGGCCACGAATCGTGCGAGGGGCGTTCCGAAATGGAAGGCGGGAACTCATCTGAACATTGGTAGTTGAGCCTAAGCTGTGGCTCCCTTATGGGTGTGCCGAAACAAAAAAGTAGGAACTCCTGTGATGGCACTTGGGTCTTAGTTTGAGCTCCCCATAGAGCCGCAAAACATGCAAGAGGTGCACCGAAATGGGAGTTGGGAACTCATCTGAGCTTTCGCATGTGGGCCTTAGTTAGGGCCCCCATGTGGGGCCACGAAACGTGCGAGGGGCGTGCCGAAACGGGAGTCGGGAACTCATGTGAACATCGGCATGTGAGCCTCAGTTGGGGCTCCCAATGGGCCACGAAACGTGCGTGCGGTGCGCCAACATGAAAGGTGGAAGCTCACTCGAGCTTTGGCATTTGGGCCTTCGTTGGGGCCCCCATATGGTGCCACGAAACGGGCGAGGAGTGTGCCGAAATGGCAGGCAAGAACGCATGCGAACTTTGGCATTTGGGCCTCAGTTGGGGCTCCCAATGGGGCCACGAAACGTGCGAGGGATGTGCCGAAATGAGTGGTGGGAACCCATCTGAATTTTGGCGGTTGGGCCTTAATTGGAGCTCCTCTGGGACCACGAAACGTGCGAGGGGTGTGCCGAAATGAGCAACGGGAACTCGCGAAACTTTGGCAGTTGCGCCTTAGCTAGGGTTCCCCATGGGGCCACGAAACGCGCGAGAGGTATGCCGAGATGAAAAGCGAGAACCCGTGTGAACTTACTGTCATTTGAGCCATATTTGGAGCTCCCCATGGGGCCACGAACCGTACTTGTGAACACTGGCATTCGGGTCTTACTTGGGGCAAGAACAGGGAGGAAGAGGTAGAAGGAGGAGGAAGGGGCGCTGCGGGTTCAAAACGATGGTTGAGAACAAAGCACTTTAGAATAGACCCCCGCACCCTGCTAGAATACTTCAAAAAAGTTTCGCCATCCCGGGTCCATGTTCGAGGACCTGCCACGGGAGCTCATGCGAACGTTGGCGCTTGGGCCTTCGTTGAGACCTTCTGTAGCACCACGGGACGTGCGAGGGGCGCTCCGAAATGAGAGGCGGGAACTCGTGTGAACTTTCGCAGTGGGACCTTCGTTAGGGGGCTCCATACGGGGCCACGGAGCGCGTGCGGGGTGTGCCGAAACGAAAGGCGGGAACGCATGTGGACTTTGGCATGTGGGCCTTAGTTGAGGCTCCCTATGGATCCATGAAACGTGCGTGAGATGTACCAGCATGCGAGAAGGCAACTCATGCGAACTTTCGTTGGAGCGCCCTATGCGGCCACGAAACGTGCGAGGGGTGTGCCGAAACGAGTGGCCGTGAACCCTGGCATGTGGGCCTTAGCTCGGACGACCTACGGGGCCACCAAACATGCGAGAAATGTGGACATTAAATGCAGGAACTCTTGTAAAGTTTGGCATTTGGGCCTTAGCTCTGGCTTCCTGTGGGGCCACGGAACATTCGAGGGATGTGCCGAACTGAGAGGCGGGAACTCATGTGAACTCTGGCAGTTAAGCCTTAGCTGGGGCGAGCCCTGACACGTGGGCCTCAATAGGAACCCAGTATAGGGGCATCGAAACGTGTGAAAGATGCGCAAACATGAAAAACGGGAACGCATGCGAACCATAGCATTTGAGCCTCAGTTGGGACTCCCATATACGGCAGCGACAAACGTGTGAGTATGTGCCGACATGAGAGATGGGAACCCATGTGCTCTTTGGCAGTTGAGCCTTATTTGGAATTCCTCATACGGCCACAAAACGTGCCAGAGGTGTGCCAAAACGAGAGGCGGGAAGTCATGCGAGCTTTGACATTTGGACCCTAATCGGGGCCCCCTTTATGGGGCCACGAAACGCGGGCGGGGTGTGCCAGAATGAGAAACGGAAACTCATATGAACTCTGGCCTTCGGGCCTGAATTGGAGCTCCCTCAGGGGCCACGAAACAGGCGAGGGGCGTACCCAAATGGGAGGCGGGAACTCATGTGAACTTTCGCATGTGGACCTTAGTTGAGGCTCCCTTTGGTGCAACGAGACGTGCGAGGGGTGTGCCGAGATGAATGGCGGGAATTCATGTGAATTTTCGCATTTTGGCCTTCGTTGGATCTCCCTATGGGGCC